TTCTACAGTAGGTGCATGCAAATGATAAACTGCTCTGTAAAATGACATAACCTGAAGTACACTATAAATACCTTGTGTTTCCCTTTCTGTTAGATGCAGACCTTTTTATGCCCCCATTAAACACAACCATTTTCCATTACACATCAACATGCTAAGACTTCTATTTTTTTCTTTTGCGCTTTACCACTTAAACCAGAAAACAATTCTGACTTTGTAAAAAAGGCAACCAGCATAACTATCAAAATGTACTGAAACATCAACTGCATGTTCAATATACTGTAAGTGGTCACATCCTTTAGAACCCTCCTTCTGGTCTTTATGGTGTGTTGTAGATTGAAAGCATGTTGTCTTCTAGTTGTTGTCTTCTAAGGACTGCTTTCCTTGAAATACCAAGAGCCACTTTGAAAAGACTGCAGCTGTAATAACAAGGGACTTTAATAGTTTAAACAAGAAGCTCTACAAAATCTCTTCCTATCCAAAACCTTTGTAATTGTGCATTGGAAACTCACACTGTAGGCTAACATTGTCAGCTATTATTTCTAACCAAATGCATGCCCCAACAGTCCCCAAAATGTCTTTTGCTGTTTGGGAAGACAATGGATCAAACAATGGTGAAAAGAGGAGACAATTTCTCTTTAACAGGTTAAAAGGACTGAAGGACTTTTGAAAGGACTTTTTGGGATGAATGTTTGCTTTCCCACAGTATAACCATATTGTTGGAAAACAAAATGCCAGAGGTACAAAAGCATTGAGAATTATTTTTTTAGTGATAACTTGAAAGAACTTCAACATGCATTTCATACTTTAAAAGTAGGAAGAAATCTGATTTAGTCAGTTATATAAAAAGTTGAAAAGGAAAAACAAGTTTCAATAATGTAGAACAATTACACTGTACATGTCATATCTCCTAGAGTTCTGGTGTCCACAAAACACTTCAGATCCTGTGTTCAAGCTTGTTGACAAACAGAATAGGAGTCACAGTACTGTGAAAGAGCTCCAACTCTCTCACAATCAAATTGTCACAACTGGGCTGGACCTCTCATTATTTATAGCTTGAATTCAGTAATTGTCAAAAAAAGCAAAATATACTTCTTTATAGAAATGCTATTTACCGTTATACCATACTTACTGTCATACGTTTACCAAGGCTCCAGGTTTTAATATTTACTGTATGATGTCAGTCGCAAATCTCAACAAGACCAAAGAAGTGGCAAGAATCAAAGTTATACACACAAAGTTAATTTAGAAGAGACCATTCTCACTATGATTCACGGTTTTCCAGGGCTTGCCACTCAGACTGGATGCTCTTTCAGGGGATTCATTCTAATTAGTAATCATGATTCTGATTATTCAATTCTTGCCTTTTCTGTCTATAATGCTGTGGCACCTCTGTTGTGGTACAGTACTTCATCATTATTCCACTTCCTGTCACTGACTCCCTGGCTGAACTGCCGTCATGCACCCTGAGCTCTTATGTTGTTGTGGGCTGAATCTTCAGCAGATTTCCTGTGCTGCTTGTCTACCCTGGAGCCGGGACAACTGTCAGATTTCCCTCACCTTCCATCGATTTTCCAACTTCAATACAGGGACAGCTGTCTAGAATACCAGGGTTCCACAGCAATTATCTTCACCCTTTCTTAGCTGACCATCCAGGGCTATCCTTGCTCCACTGGACAGTATTTCTAATTAAGAACTGCCAGTCAGTTATCTATTATTCCATTAGCACTCACTTTCATTTCACTTTCCCTCCGTACCAGAGCGCTCGATCTCCAATGAATCGTATCTCTTTAAACGTCTCCTCGACTCTCCAGGCTTTTGCACCTGGGTTAAGTCCAATCATCACCTCTGCAGCAGTATCCAGCCATGTTCTAACAAGACTGCTGTCACACACAACAAAGGTGCACTTAATCATAGTTTTGCAGTACTTTTTCATCTGTTATTTTTATGCAACACTTTGAAGGTGCACTTGCTCTTTCAGATATGCCAAATTGCTAGCCAGATAGATTTAGCTATATTACTGTACAGGTGTGCACTGTCACGATGGTCTAAATCAATTACAATCAGGTGGCATGTGAAATAGGTATTTCTGCAGCTATTGTAAGCAAAATGTCTTTGTAGCCTATTGTTATGCTACTGTATGTAAGCATAAGTAAGAATTAGAAGATCATTTTTCATTCAATTCCATACGTGGGAAGAAATTACACTACAGTATATAACATAATTCTCACATAAATGCTGATAAGAATGGGAAAAGAAAGAGCAGTCTACTTTCTTGAAACAAATCATTTTTCAATAAAACAGCTATAGTTTTGCTTTTCAGATTTGATTTTTCAGGTCTTTCTCTCCATTTATCATAGAAATTGAATACTAACTGATGAGAGCATATAGTTCTTTTCCCATTAGATTGGGTTTGTAGCTTGCCTGCTAAAGATGTTATCAATGTTAAGACCCCTTATGTATTTAGGTGGTTACAGCCTTACAGTACATAAGCTGTGGTTTAAATGAATGTGTCAAACATTTAAAATTACGTTTGAAAGAGGGTTGAGGGTATTTTCCTTAGAAAGGAGATACATTCAGAACATGTTGGCCAGTGTAATATTGCATGCTAGTTATCAAGAACTGATGTTTTTATGGAATGATTAACTTTGGTCAAACACATACAACAATAACAAAACAAAAACACATGCAACAACAGCAAAAAAAGAAAATGTTCATAGACACAGTTTCCTAAAACATTGTACATGTCACGATTATAGTCCCCCTCCTAAAGGGTGCTCCAGCCCTTTCACTTTAGACTTCATTCTGTGCACCTGATCCCTTTTACCCAGCCCACCTTAAAAGCCAGGCGCTGACGCTCATCCTGGCTCTGCATCTGGTTTCCGCACCATGCGAGTCCAGGACCTGGAAGGTTCCTGTTCCTGTTCCTGTTCCTGTTCCGCCGGTTTCCGACCCGGTTCATGGTTTTTAATTCCTTGTTTTGATGGATCTCCTGGCTTTGGACTTACTCTTGTGTTTTTGGATACCCTCTAAGGATTACTCTCTTGGATTGTTTGCCTCGGCCACACCTCCCCCGTGCACCAGCGCACTTTGGACACGCCCCCCTGTTTTCAGCCCCGTTTTCCTGCATGACGTTTTCCCAGTGTTTCCCCACTTCTTTGGATTGTGTCATCCGCATAGGGTCCGGAAAGAACTGTTCGTTACAGTACATTTATATAAAAAGTGAATAACACTGAATTGTTGAATTGCAAAAACAAATAGTTATGAATAATTCTGATGGCTTCTTTCACAGAGTTCTGTAGGTAGTTCAAGTACTGTAGGTAGCTGCATCAGCATGCGTAGGCTGCAAAAGAACAAGTAAAGGTTTATTCCATGCTGGAGGGAGAAGAAAAGAAGCACACTGTTTAGGCAGTGGAGCCTTCTTCAGCAGCCTTCTTCTCACACCCAAAGAAGGCCCCACAGCCAAAACATTGTGCTTCTTTTGTTCTCTTTTCGGCATGGAATAAACCTGTACTCATTCTGTAGTTATGTTTGCTACTCGTTCAATTTCTATCAACAAAATAGATCTATAATTTAATAAATAATAATAATAATAATAATTGCTTACACTTATATAGCGCTTTTCTGGACACTCCACTCAAAGCGCTTTACAGGTAATGTGGATTCCCCTCCACCACCACCAATGTGCAGCATCCACCTGCATGATGCAATGGCAGCCATAGTGCGCCAGAACGCTCACCACACATCAGCTATCAGTGGGGAGGAGAGCAGAGTAATTAAGCCAATTCATAGTTGGGGATTATTAGGAGGCCATGATTGGTAAGGGCCAATGGTAAATTTGGCCAGGACACCGGGGTTACACCCCTACTCTTTTTGAGAAATGCCCTGGGATTTTATCTGAAGGACGGGATAAATAAATCAATAAATCTGAGTCCTTTAAAAGACCAAAACATGACAAGTAATAAAACTATTTTGACTGGAGTAGTTGTAAGATCTAAATACTGTTACTGTTACTGTTTCGAATGAATCTGAGAGGCTGGGTTGCAGTTGTAGGGAGACAAGATAGGAGACATCTGAAGAAGTCCAGCGTTCAAACATCAAGGATTTGGATAAGAAGTTGACTGAAATTTGTTATTAAATGGACACGTCTTGAGATGTTATTTAGAAAAGATGACAGAAGCACGCTATGGAAATATGGTTTGAGCACCGAGGTTCTTTGTAGTATTGGAATATATCATTTTTGATATAAAATATATTTTGATGTACAAGTATAATAAACTGTGTGTCTATAAAAATGTACATTTTGAATGTATGCAATAATAAATAGTTCAGCTCCCAATGGTTAAATTTTATTTTAGTAAATCAATCAAGGTTTATTTATCTATGCACAGACAGTACAGCATACAGCAGTGTTGTCACCAATGAAATGCTTTATCCGCGAGCTTGTTAAGAGGGATAGAAGAGTTCTATGTAAGGTAGATTTGCACATGAAAAACTACATTGTTAGTTTGAATATGTAGGGTTGTAATGTGCAGATTTCACACTGTTCTCTTGATTGCTCTGAGCTTCCTGCTGCACAGCCTGCCCTCCAATAGCTGTGAAGTCAGCTGCATGAAAAAATGTGATGTAGGATTAGCTAAGAGCGTTAAGTCACTGTAATAGTCTCATGTTCTGTGAGACCTGTTACAATAGTCACATGCCTGATGCATGTCATGTTGAATATGAAAAATATAAAAAACATGAGTAAAATAATAACATTTACATAACACTTCTTAGTCATGCTTTTAAAGTTTGAAATGTGGTGAATGATACAGTATGTGTGGAATATGTTTTTGCATATTTCTATCCGAAGTGCAGAATGCCTGAGCTACGTGAAGTTCCTCTTTTCGAAAAGCATTACATGCATCTTCCAAATGTGCATTATTCACGTAAATATGTTGGTGCCATTAAAGAAATGCCTGCAGTACTCTAACATTAATTTTCTTTTGAAACTCTGCTTACAGGCCATTGTGAGTTCTGCTAAAGATGTCCGATAGTGTCGATATTGAAGAGAAACCGCCAGCCCCCCCCTTGAGAATGAACAGTAACAATAGAGACTCTTCCTCAGCAAACCACAGCTCTAAACCTCTCCCAATGGCTCCAGAAGAGAAGAACAAGAAGGCCCGACTCCGTTCTATCTTCCCTGGAGGAGGTGATAAAAGTAAGGGCACAGAAGTAGCACTATAACCAGGCCTCAATCACACTGCATGGCACCACAGTGCTTGTTTGGACTTAGCTGCATTACCTTGTAGAGGTAAACTAAATTAAGATAAACTAAATTAATATAGTGTTTTAAGAAAAACATTAGTAAGTTATGAAAAGAAAAGAAGCTTTGTGGTACAAATTCTTTGTTTGATTTGTAGTAGCCTACCGGCCTAATAATTCCATTAAGGTTTGTCTTAAAGGATCCTACAGAATCAGCCGCAACTAAATAGCAAGGGAGTATACCAGACTCCAATGACTCCTTCTGAAGGAAGTATTTGTAGTATTGCTGATTTTGGAAAATCTTTCCTTCATTGTTTTTGCCAACACTTTACAGGATTTTTAACACCTGAAACACGATTTTCTATGTGATTTTCTCTTATGGGCTTAGAAGATTCAGTTCCCTTAATCTTTGATATTCCTCTGTGACCTGAATATAGTATGGATGTTCTTTTTTGCTCTGCCTCACAAATATGGTCTTACTGACCAGCTGTAGTCAATAAAGACAGTTTTCTGCAAACTAAAACATAGGTGGCATCTTTCTGCCCAAAATGTACATTTTCAATCTGAGATAGAATACTTGACAGAATACAAGGGTGCAAAGGATATACTGTAATAGAGTCTGTTAGATCCAGTTTTCCCACAGTATTGAGAATAACCATAATAATCCTAGACACCTGTTTTCCATTGCTTAAGGCAAGCTCCCCCACCACATTACCTGCCTTAGCCCAACTTTAGCTCCAAGGTTGACAATGACTGGCATCGCATTATCTTCATAACACATGTAACCACCACACCTGCTCCCTGATGGCTTAGTTTTGCTGGTTCTTTTCTCTACTTGATGTCACATGCCTTAGTAAATTGGTATCAAGTATGAAATCCACCACCTGTCTATTAGATCCTATTCCCACCATTTGATGTAAATCCTGCTTCTCTAACCTTGCCCTGTTGGTCATAACAATGAGTCCTTATTTTAAGTACCAATGGCTTAAAATAACTGCAGTATCCCCTGTGACTGGTGACTGGTCTGAGTTACTATCATCCTACTCTCCACCTCGCACCCTTTGTTCATCTGATTCTGGTCTCCCATCTGTTCCCCATGCCCATCTACACTCTATTGCTATGCTCCAAAGGCCTAGAATTATATCCCTAAGGATATCAGAGAGTTCTGAGCTCTTATATTTAACTGGTTATGTGTCTGCCCCTTTGCTTTCCTACTGTATTCCAAACCTTATTTGTACAGTAACTGTGTCATTCTGATGTCTCCTCTCATTCTGTAAAGCACTTTGAGAATTTCTGTAAATTACTTTTGAAGTAATTCCATACATAAAATGTTTCTTCTTCTTAATATAATGTTGACATTGAAATTGAAACTACTTTGCAAGGATATTTTAAAAGAGATATACATTTTCAATTAGTAAAGATAATGGAAAAATTATTAAGTACTGTAGAATAAGGCTTTCTCTCTTTTTTAGAAAATTGGACACAAAGCAATGTTGTGTTCATTCAGGTTTATAACTGTGGAAACCTTTTAAGATCAGTTCCTAAATAGACATTTATCTTAAGTCACTTGTCAAGAAAGGAGAAAACACTTTTTCATTAAAACCTGCTGACCACATGGATGGGAAACTCAAGAATGGATTTGATTCATTCTTTATAAGCTTTTGAAAGCATTGTGTTGTTCCTAGTACATTTTGGCATTAATAAAAAGTAAAAATTTAAGGTAACCTTAATTTTTAAGCAGGCAAAAAAAAACCTCATGGTCAATATAACATTATTTGGCCATGTCCTCTCCTATAATGGAGTATACAGTACACTAAAAGGAAACATTTCTAAGTGCTTTATTCTGTTTATCAGTCTTTTTAGATTGAACAATTTGGTAAAATTATTCATGCCCCCTAGATATGCAAGCTAAGAACATTTAAAAAATGCAAAGAAGAAAGCCACTTTTTTCTAAGCCTTTCTTCTAAGGCCATTAAAGCAGTGTTTGTTTAGTTTTAAAACATTTTCAAATTTTCAAATACAAATCTAAATCACTTGAATCTGACCAATATAAATTCAACTGTACTACATACAGTATCACCCAGTCAAGTTAGCTGCCCTCTAACATTTTAAATATTGTTTTGTCATTTTTTTAGCTAATAAGAAGAAAGAGAAGGAACGTCCTGAAATATCACTTCCTTCTGACTTTGAGCACACAATTCATGTTGGCTTTGATGCAGTAACAGGAGAATTCACAGTAAGTAACCTAACCTTTCACTATGAATTTCCAACAGTACATTACTATGAGGTCTTGGTTCTTGTAATTCTCATTTAGTTCATTATAACAACCAGGATAAAGTAGTTTCCTAAGGCCTGTCATGCTATGGGTAGTGTAGGGCTGGGTTCCACATCTCTTTACTTAGTCTGAATTTTACTTAAGCCGAATTTTTCTTAGCTTAGGAGTGATCCTTTCTTAGCCATTGTGAGAATTCACGTAGAGAACTGCCATTCATAATATTACGGTGATCCTCCCTTAATTTCCCTAGCTATGTCAGCGAGTGAGGAAGGAGGGGTGTTGGAGCAGGCTCACTGGGGTTTATTGTCCTTTAATGGAACTGTATGTGTGCTGATCACAGAGAGGGAAGAGAGCAAGAGACAGAATGTAGAAGCAGCTAGCAGGCCATGAGATAGAGAGAAAGAAAATAAACTTTCCCATGTTTTTACAGGCGAAGTGAAATGATATAAGACTGAATTAAAAAAGTACAATAATTAAACACCATATAGTGTACTGTACACTTAAAATATACAATATTCCAAAAATAATTGAAAGATAATGATCTTGAATTCATACTTGACATTACCGTGACTGTACTTTGCAGTAATTAAACAAAAATAAAATGCAAGGTAAAACATAAAAATAATAAAATCATTTGGTTAGTCCTCTAACATACTTGCAATACAGGTTAATTTAATTTTTCAACGAAAAGCACAAGATTATACAGTACACTGCATTTTCTACACAAGTGTGTAAAGAAAGTGAGACGGAACATTCAAATGCAGTCCTTTATATACTGGTGTAGACCACTTTATGTTTACCTCATGCTATTAATCCGTGGAAAGAACTTCCCTCAGTACTTGCTCTTTACACATTCAATGTAAACTCTGCTTAGCTCAACTGAATTCCAACTCATGTAAGATCACTTGATTAGCCATAAACAATTTCTTGCATTAGGAATTTGTCTTTTCACATACCCCAGCTTGCTCTCCATGAGACACACAGGCACATAGACAGGGAAAGAGAAGCTTGGGGTCAGAGCACAGGGTCAGCCATTTATCCTGTGCTCCTGGAGCAGTTAGGGTTAAGGGCCTTGCTCAGGGGCTCAACAGAGTAAGGTTCCTCTGCCAGCTGCGGGATTTGAACTGGAAACTTTCTAGACACAGGTGCAGGAGGTTTATGTAAAGTTACATTTATGCAAGTCAACCCATATGTTACCCAGAGTGTGTAATATATGTTCTGTATGATTACGGACTGAGCTTATTAATGGCTAAATACATTGAAATGGCAAGCTTCATTTATTATATTTCATTAAGACTAGTCCCATATGTAAGAGAAACAAAGAATTCCCCCTTTTCTGAATGAACTTAGTGTAAGTAGATTACAAGACTATGACCATCAGTGTGTGATTACTCAAAGCTTTGAAAAAAGTACATGGGTTTTGAATATGTGTTAAAGTATGAATTTCCTTTAAGATAAGGCAATGAATAGTAGTGAGTATTCTAAACAAAGTATACAAGAATCCTTTATGTATATAGCCTTACTATTATGGTCTCATCTGTTTAATTATAACAATTTCTAACAATAACTACTCAGATATGGAGAAAATGAAGATAGGGAAGCTTCACTCCCAGTTTTGATTATACTGTTCATCTCCTTTTTTACTCACGTACAGCTCCATTCAAATCGATCAACAGTTGACTCAATTTTAAATGAAAGATACTGTACCTACTGAATTATTGAAAGGAAAGCTTTACTTATTTGCTAAGTATAAAGGATGCTGTGTTCTGTTTAATTTAATAGCATACCATATTCGATTCAGAGGGAAGTTGTGGAGAATATGGATATGAATGTTTGCATCTGATAAAGTCTAGAAACAATTTCCAATTGTTTATCTTGTCCATGCAGAGTCTGATTATGAAAAAGCCTTCAATTTTATTTATGTCACCTTTAACAATCTACTGTATTTGTGTTGCTTGTTCAAAACTCTGGAAGCAGGACATTTCAGGATATTTTAATATATATGAATATAATATACAGTACTTTACAATAAGCACAGTGTTAGATAATATTTTTTGAACATGAAGAAATACATTACAATCTGTTTACATTTCCATAAGTGTTTGATGAATGCAATGATGACTGAATATTAAAAATGGGAAAGAAGAAAGAAATGTGGACATTTTCTCAAAGCAAGAAAGCTGAAAGGTCACATAAATAACACTCTTATGTGAAAATTAAAATGTGAAACAAAATTCAAATGGAAATGAAAAATGCTTTCATTATTGTGATGGAGAAAATACACAGTCTTCAATTCATGTTTGTATAAAGATATTTTCTAATACTTTTGTTATTGAAGATATTTTGCATTAGTACAAACGTGCTTAGAAACTGATGCTTTACGTTATCTGGGAGCTGCCTTGAACCAGGTGTGAAAAGAAATAGCTATTGTGTTTGAATTTGGGGAACATCTAAGAAGGGTGAAATGTTTTAGAAATGACAGGCTGATTGGCTCCTGCAGACATTTCCCAGTTTTCTTGTTGTTAAAATGATCTTGTTGAGTCACAGTTGTTCAACAAGCAGTATCTGTCACTTCTTGTTAATATTGCAAGCAAAGCCTGGGCTCATCTGAATGGCATATTATGTATTGCTAAGGAAAATGAATTGTACTGAATTCAGAGCTGTGTGAGTGAAATGGGATCATGCATTTGAACCACATACTGTATCTGTTTTAGATATAAAGATTGTAATTGGATTTGAAAGACAAATGGACCTTGTTTTCCCACAGGGAATTCCTGAGCAGTGGGCTCGGTTACTCCAGACCTCCAACATTACCAAACTGGAACAGAAGAAGAACCCACAGGCTGTGCTGGATGTTCTCAAGTTCTATGATTCCAAAGAGACAGTGAACAACCAGAAGTACATGAGCTTTACTTCTGGAGGTGAGAGACAGGATCTTTATAATGGATTCATCATCATTATTATATACAGTATACTGTGATTATATATATTATATATGTGATTGTCTTTTAGTATTCATCTACAGTAGTACTTAGCATGTTGTGGATAGTGAGTTTTTCAACTACAGTAGGCTTTGAATTTCAGTGTGGTTTAAAATTTCTAATTCTAGGCCATTGAAAAATGTATGCCTGAAAGCATACTTTACACAGTACACAGTGGTTTATGTTACATTATCTTCTACTTATATCTCTATGTGACTAAAAGAATGAAAATGGTTGAGGATGAGGGCAGGGATTTATTAAATAAATGTAACAACTTACATCTGCTCTCCAGATAATAATGATAATCATCTTAAAGTGCTTATTTAGCTTTATGTTAAATAGTATATTCTTTATGTTAGATAGTACAGTACAAGTCTATTATTGTAAGTACCAATTTAAAAAGATTCTTCAATTGTACTCTTTTGAATTTACAGAGAGGTTTGGTCTTTAGATAACATGAAAGTTAAACAGCTCCTTCAACTAAAATTGAAATTAAAATCAAGTTTATTATAGGAGCAAGGGCATTGGTAAAGACAAAACTCTTGCTGTCAGAGTAAGCACACATTAGCACAGAATAGGGATCAATATTTTATTTAAATAATTGCCAATTTCTTTTTCAGACAAATCAGCACATGGTTACATAGCACCCAATGCTCTGGTAAGTGATCTTGGTTTTCATAAAATGAAAGCTTACCCTCTGTTTGGGATTTCATTTTTGAAAAATAGCATTTGATACACTAATAACATTTTACAAGAATAGTGATGAATAAATGACGTGGAGCAGAGATGGATAAACTGGATAGGTTTTGAAACATATTCATTTACTAAGCAATCATAAAAAAGTCTAAAAACTAATCATAGAAAGCAATACCTTTTAGAAAACTCAGTAATTTATTTAATCAGATTGTCTTAAATAATTATCTGCTTTAATCAGATCAGTGAACAACAAGGAGCCTGAAAAGGTGGAAACAGTTTTAGATGAAAGCTAATTAACTGAGATCTGAGCACACAAAAATGAGTTAAAAGGACTATTTTTAATTATTTTATGACATCACATTATGATATGAGTGCTTGTTTCCAATTTTAACATCTCCCAAGATTATAGAGACAATAGACAACTTCATGGACAGTACATTGTAAAATTAATTAATTGTACGTTCCCTTTGAAGGTTCAAAATTTGTACTTTTTCCTTGCAGTTCTTATTCTCATTTGAAATATCAAATATCAAACTTTTACAGTTTTCTTTTTACATTTCATAGAATGCTAGCTTTACAGATTACATTTTTTCGTATTTCATTATTTTTTGGCATACAAGCCCTGTGATTTAGCACTGTGTTTTTAATGCCAGAAAGAAAATAATGCTTCTGAACATGTTTTTACTGAAAGTGTTTTTTTTAAAATAAAAGCCATGTATTTCACCTTAGACAATTTAAGAAGAAACAGCATTGCAGGAAATTGGAGTTATTTTATCTGGATTGGTTCTCTAAACAAAGAGTCTGGGCTTTAAAATAAATGGATACAATTTTATTTTTAAAATATGCCTTCTACAGAAAAAAAACTCTTAATTGATTACATGAAGAACCTAACAGTAACAATGTGTGAATTTGGCACTGCAGGAAGTTCTGCAGTAAAATAAAATGCTACCTGCCTGTAATACTACCCAGGCCTCAGTAAGATATAGTTAATCAGTTTAATCATGATTTTTCTATTAAATAGATACTCTTCTAGGTTTTTAATATTTTATAGATCACTAATGTTTAGTCAGGCTTGTACAGCAAAAATTAATTGTCAGTACACGTTTCTAAACCACCAAAAGCATTTGGGAGTGACTAGTAGTTCAAGATTAGACTTTGTTTTCAAGAAAAGCAAGTGTAATATTCTGTCTTTAAAACAGAATTATGTTTTTAAAACGTTCATTCACACTGGTAACTGGCCTAAGCTTCTTATGATTTTAATCTGCAAACTGTTCAGGTAAGTCTGTTTCCTATTCAAAGCTAAAAAGATAAATCAATTGTGAACACATTTTTTAAAATTCAGCACAGATGGAAAAATATTTCATGAAGCTTATGTTGCAAACCCCTTATGGGTATAATTTCAAATTTTGTGTTTGAAAAATGTAGCGGAGAAAAACCTCTTTTGGTCTGTCATGGATGACAAAGCCCTTTGTAATTATTGTCTGGTTGACGGTGGTATCCAATTCTTCTAGTTTGTAGTGGCAAAGAAACAAGGTGTTTTGGACTGATATTCAATTGCTTTGCATGTCTGCTATTTTTGTTTTCTTTTGGACTTTTATTCTCTCAGTGTTTGTGCTTTCAAGTGTTTAATTAACATACATTATTGATTAACATTGATTAACATTTGATTAAAACCACGTTCCTGAATGCACAACGTGGGCAGTGAGGCCTGCTCTTGCTTTAAAACTTGTTTAGACTGGGGTGGCAGCTTTTTGAAGACCACAATGTGTCCTGTATTAACTGTGTTTCTGGCTATGCAGCATTAAACAATCGGTGCAATTGACCTAATGTCCCATTTAGTACATCATCTTTTTTTTAAATAACATTGGATATGTCATGGTCGTGCTTAGAATAAAAGACCATCATTGCAGAAATGTCATTAAATTGCAAATAAAAGTCAGAATAAGTACAGATGTGAGATGAATTTCAACCAATAGATAAAACTACTTTTTCATTAAGTCAAAATCAGAGCAAACTGGAATTCACCATTTAGAAAAGGGGAAAATGGATCCTCATTATACAATGTACGCATTTATTTACCAGTTAAACATCAAAGCAGTTGCAGTTTAAAGCTTGTAGCTTATTATATGTGTGATTGTAATTGTTGTAGTCATTCCTTCGATACTAGCTTTTCAGGAGCAGGTGTATGATGTGATGCACTCGGCCCTTCCATAGATCAAGAGCAAATTAATTTTTACAGCCAGGCTTGGTACTGAATGTGTTGGGGGTTAGAATGATTGAATGGCGATGCATAGAAGTACACACTGCTAAAGGTGAATGTAAAAGGAACAAATATACACCAAACAGCAATCCCCTGGGTTTGCAATTCACCAAACAAAAATACTTTAACTTTTATTAGCTTCATAATTAAATGTCACATAATACATCATTATTTTGAAACTTTTTTAGCTTTTCTTGTGCTTTTGTTAAAAATGCAAATCCCAGCATTGCACTTAAATAATACCTGCAGCTTTTAAGGTGAAGTGTGATGTTCATTCTTGTCTATATGTTAAGGCCATTGTGACACCTATGTTATAGTAATGTTTAGCTATTCTGGCTGACAATGATATATTATTTTTTCACCTTCATAACTAGACTGTTTTGTTTGGCTTGCATTGTAAATGTGTATCTCATCCTAAATAGCCTATGTAGTAATCATAAAATGCCTATAAAAAATTTGGTTGCATAGCATACTTCATAAATTATTAAAGATAGTCATAAAAATACCCACATGAAACTGGCAAACATTACTGTAGTAGGTAAGAAGAAAAAGAAAAAGTTTCTCTATAATCTAGAAGCATCTGGTCAGCACCAACCATAAAAAAACTTATATTTAGTCACAAAACTCCAGAGTTACTAAATCTGATATGTAACATAATTATTATGTTGTTGTTTTTTTCTGGAGCTGAATGTGCACTCAATGTTTTGTAGTGTAATGTACTAATTCCTTCACTACCAAGCAAGCAACTGGCTTTAACTGTACTGTACAGTATGTGCAAGTCTTTGAGTTTGCTGCTGAAGCTGCTTCTAATAAATTCAGCTTGACACTGCTTATTGCTGAAAATGTGAAGCATTGCATTGTTAGCATCGCTACAACATAAATGTTCTATAGAAATGCAGAGTTCTATAAACCTCTGTAGTAAGAACAATATATAGTGTCTGCCTTCATTTTGTTTGAATATACATTTACAGTATATACTGCCCAACCAAAATATTAGAGTATACCAAGCTAAAAAGTTGAGCAATCTCTAATGCTGATTAAAGCTGTACCATGTTGTGACATTAATATTATTGGATACTCTGGATACTCACTAATTTTTGTGGATACTTGAAGTTATTGTGCCAACAGTATGAGTTGTGGGTAGCAGTTCAATAACATTTTATCACCTGTGCACTGTCTAGATCCTGTAATGTGTATAAATGGACACATTAGCCTGGTCTTGCCTTTAGCTTATTATCAGAAGCAACCTTACTTATGCTGTGAAGCCAATATCCTTCTTTCTTAAAGCAAATTGCACCATTGAGGGAAAGGACTGGTCTGCTATTACATTATTGTCCATATTAATATGAGACTGTCTTGGTTATTTCCAGTGCCTCGCACAGGGTGGATTCCCATCCTGAGCATACAGTTATCTAATATTTTTGTAGGGCAGTATGAATAAATAGATAGAAGAAATTTGTAGATTTTTATACTGCAGTTCCATCATGGAAAAGTGTTTTTCCAAGACAATTACTACACCCCTGTTGTTTTCCAAAGCACAGATTGGTTGTATAGCTTTTATGATAGCATGCATTCTGTGACTATATATGGAAAGGAGAACCAGATGAGCCAAAGGCCACATATTCTGATTTTATTGTGAAAGATCTCTGCCAGGGGTCACAGGGGACGAGTGACATTTAAGAGAAGAGTTCAAATGTAAAGATACTGTAAAAATAGGCTAACGTTTTCCTGGACTTGACACACATCTGTTAACCTCCTTCGCACTCTTCTACAAATCCTTTTATTTTGGACATTGAAATGTCTTCAAGGTGGATCCACTCTTACATAATATTAAAATATAAGCTCACATTTAAAAGTTGTTTGAGGGGTTTTATTACTTTCTGATCCCTACCATCTGTAATGAAAACTGCTCCAAAGACAAAACTGTCTTAAAGGCAAATCAGATTCAAAGTTTAGGATTTTGCGAATGAACCTAACAAAACGTTATTTGCGATAATACTGAAAATTGCATTTATTGAAGATTTTCTTGAAATTATACCCTAATACAATTTCTGTATGAAAGGATGTGGTTCTAATTCTTGCAGAGTACATTTCTAGGGATGAAGATTTGGGGTAGCACTGTCAAAAAACAAAAAAGGCACTGAAGGCCATTTGCTATTGTTTGTTGTGTCGGTTTGTGTTCAATAAATCCTCCCGTTCTCAACCTTCATATCCAGACTCGTCTCCTGTCCTCTGGGGCTCCAGTTACCCTTAGAACCCTCAGCGCAGCAATTTATGACAAGGTAATGACACACTTTCTACATTTATATGAAACAGAGATATACCTTTAAAACCATCCACCCCTACCAAATAATGTCCAGCCGATTGCATTAAATGGAATCGAATAGTAATAACAGAGAAGGCACTATTTGAGCCACACCTTAAGGAATGCTGCTATGAAGTGTTTTAAATGGCAAACTGTAAGATAAGATCATGTTTTAAGCTGACATTTGTCTCCTTGAGAAGAAAAAAAAACATTAGTGAGCTGGAAAGAATGTTTGAAAAAATGAATTGGAAAGAAAGATCTGGATTGTTGCCAATTTCAATTTTGCTTCCTCCTACATTGTTTTGATTAAAACCAGGCCTAGCTTACACAAATAAAATGCTATTATAGCAAAGACCTACAGCAGCAGGTTGTGTATTCTATTAATTTCCAAGCACACCAGGATGAAATTGAAGTGAAACATTAAGCACTTAACAAACCACAACTTTGGTTTTTGATGTTGATTTTGTTTTTATTCGATGTTACCATGGACACAATCAGAGCTAGAGTTGTGACTGTATCTGCCATAATTAGCATGATTTATGTAATAATCTCACATAATGTAATGTTTCTGCAATGTGGTATTGCATTTTCTCAGGTACATTTACCATACAGTGCATTAGAAGTGAGTAGATGAAGCTAATAAAGTAGAAGATGTATTATAATGTATTGCAAAAATTTTATTTTTTATAATAAAATAATTTGACCAGTTCAGAGGACAATGAGTACACAGCAGATCAAGATATTATGATTAATTGCTAAAAAAAAATGTATAGAAAGCTGTTTCTTTAATAGATATCAAGCAGTGCAGTGCAGATGAATAACTTTAAGCTTCAAGGTAAATGGTGTGGATGAAAGTAGGAAGTTTTTTGTTATGAATTTTAAGGGGAATTAGAAATGAAGTCTGATTTTAAAAAAATTATTCATCAGGTTTGGCCAGTACATACAGTATCTCAATGCAATGCTTTGAGTGTCTCCCTCCTACTATGAGATCTGCTACACATGGTTTGGTAGGTCTGCTTTTAAGCTAGCTTGTCAGCTCAGTGGTTCTCCGCTCCACTTTTCCACACTAACGTCTTGGGTTTCTGATCTAAGCAGGTAGTCAATTGTCAACCATGTTCTCTCTTCCAGTGTACACAGCAATACTGACTCTTAAGCTGCATCACTGCTTCAGAAAGCAGCTCTTAATGAGCTGAGTAAAAAGATGAAACAAAAACCGATGCCGTTAGTGTTTCAGAGAGCTGGGTAATGCTGCAGTATCAGAGGTGTTGCCTTTTCTGTCTTAGAATGTTTTAGCTTGCACTGGGCTGATTTGCTTTCTGCTGCTTGCTAATGCGGTAAATCTCAAATAAATGCGTATATTTCTGTATTTCCAGTGCAAAGCGGCATAAATGTTTGATTTAATTTTGGTTAAGCATGAGCCATTTTCATTCTTTCTTCATCGAAACAAAAAACCATAGGACACAGGTGGAAACCAAGGGAATGTGCATTTAAAACTGTAAACAGGGGGCTCTGTTTTGCACAAAGGGGTGCAGGAGTCTGTGACAAGGTAACCTGAAATTGAAGCTGATATCTTCTTTCAAGATACAACCAGATGAGATCTTTGGATCAACTAGCCACCAAACGAGATAGATGGGACATTGTTATTACAGTTGCTTTGTTGGAGGATGGGAATCACTGTAGTCCTATGTACAGTTAAACTTACTGTAAATGGACAAATTAAAACTCAAGCCCTCAATTTTCCTTGTATGACAACACTGTCTCACACTGTTTCCTTGTATGACAACAACTGTACATGAAAGCAGCATTTCCCAATGGGTTATAAAACCAAATAAGGGTTGCCAGATTGCAACTGATGACGCCTTGCAGATAGTGACAGAAGAAACTGTTGTTGTTATGTTTTCCACTTTTGAAGAACAGTTTAAATTATTTTCATCTACAGTAAATCATGGATTATAAAAAATGCATCTTCTCTTTATTGCGATTTATACTTTTTATTTATACAATTCAATCAAGACGGAGAACCAACAAGGGTAAAAGAAGAATAATCAAAGGGATGCCATGATGAAGTTTATTTCTTTCGTGGCACCAATGTTTCTTAAAAGCGTCATGTCCTTTTAAATTAGGACACATTAGTCATTACTAAAATTGCTGAGTAAGCTTATTCTCCAGAACTGTATGATTAGAGTGAAGAATTTCTGTTTAAAAAAAGCTGATAAATTATTAAACCTTACAGAAAAATTCTTATCCTCATGTTAACTTACTGGTAATCATAAAAATAATGGCTGGAAATATATTATATGATCTAAAACGAAAGATTACATCAATATAATTAGCCTTCATTTCTTTGGTAATTTAGATAATAGGATATCTATCCAATACTGGTAATTAAAATTTCCCTTTCACATATATTGTTAAAATGTAAACATCTGGTTATTGATGCTATCTATTTACTGAAGAAAAAAAAGATTAATTAATTAAAGAACCATGCAGTTTTAAGCAGAAGAAAAGAATAACAATCTTATGATGTTTGTGTAGCACTTTGTATATGTCACACCTACAAACTAAGTAATCATTGGTTCTATTCTTCATTCTCTTGTGTGACTTTGCTCTTAAAAAAAATTTTTTTCTTTTAAAATGCCAAAGAGTTGTTTTTCTACAGTACGCACTGTACTCTCTACAATTTATAATATACAAAATTAATCGGCATCAGGAAAGCCACTCCTTTGGATATTTTTCTTTTTTTTAGAAAGCAATTTAGAAAGCAATTCCATTGAATTTTCCTTAGAACTGTTGCTAAAGAAAAAAAAAACACTCCCCAAGTTCTGAGTGGATTAGTTACTGCAATTGAATCAAGACTCTTTAATGCCTTTACTTATTGCAGTCTAAGCTCTGGATCTACCACTGGGGCAATGTTAGATGAATCTGACAGAACCAACAGTTCAAACTGTCAGCTTTCTCCTGCTTTAAAGATAGTTAAACTGGCTCATCCATTCATTCTCTCTTCATATTATCTAGTTATTGCTATGATGTATGATGCATTTGTCTTTTAGACTGTATAAAGACAAAATCTTGCTTAGAAAATGTGTGATCTAAATGGATTAGGAGAGGTCCTCAAGTTTTTTTAACTCGTTGAGTGACAAAAAGCTGGAACTTGCCGAAGATATGAAAAATATCAATAGCAGACTTGCTATGCTTTTAAATTAAGTGAAATACATTACATGTTAAAGTCACCATTTTGCAAATTGACCACTAGGTTCATTTTAAATGTCAAAATTATTAAATTCCAATTATGACAAATAATTATGCTTAATATTCTGCTAGATATGTTTCAGGCATTGATTTTTTCCAATGAAGAGTAAGGAATAGGGTTTAGAATGTGGTTTTAGATTAAATTCATTTGGATACATGACAACAATGTGCCTTCTAGTTTCGGTTACAGACACAAATTTCAGCTTCCATTGATGTCCCACCCCAGAAGGTTTTGTGTGTAGTATTAGCAATTAGTTCCATTGTAAAAGACATTAAATTGCATTATTAAACACGTTTTCTGTCTTATTTTAGATATTGTCCTAATATTCTTTGTATAAAAGCTTAGAGCCCATTCTCCTCACAGCACCTTGCCTTTTCAATAATTGTAATGGTAATAAAATAAATCACTTTGAGACTGAAATATTCCTCTGTTGATTGAAGTTTTTAAACAACAGTTCAAATGCTGCAAGCCTCTTCCAAATACAGCCTGTTTAAATTTATACTGTTACTGTACCATACTGTATATGCTGTACCTACAATATATGCATCTTGATTTTATTTACAACAAAACGTCTATGGTTGTCCTTTTTTCACTGTTATTTTTCCCATTGCATTTAGCCTGATTAAAATTATCCCCATAAATATTACCAAATTAAAAAGCACGCATTTCAGATTTGTTTTGGGTTTTATTGTGCATTTGCTCCTGGGGCTGCTTATAAAGTTGGCATTCGATTTGTTTCTTACATTTTTCTTGGTCAATTTAATCACTTAATTATTTTGGAAGTTAGATCTGGACCAAGGAAAATATATTATTTGTGCAGCATGGTGGCATTGCAGTGTTGCTGGCTTATAGCTCTAGGCTCCTGAGTCTCTAAGTCCAGATCTCTAAATCCAGGGATCTGTCTGTGTGGAGTTCACATGTTCTGCCCATGTTTCAGGTGCTCCAGTTTCCTCCCACTTCCAGAAGACATGATAGATAGATTTGGTTGGCTATTCTAAATTGTCCCAGTATTCCCATGTTGGACTGGCGTTCATCCATTTGTACTCCCAATATTGCCTAGCCACTGATACTTGCTGGATAGTCTCTTGCTTGCAGTGACTCTCCATAAAATTGCTTATAATTAATGAATACATGCAATATGTGGCATTTCAAAGGTACTTTAGTCATGGGCATCATCTGTAATATAATACACAAAAATGTACTTGCTGATAACGCAAACCAATGAGTTATTATTAAAACTGCTATTTAATTTTCAAGTATCTCAATATTTCTATTAGAATGACTCTAAGTATGTTCGTAATGTGTTTTGATGATTTCAGATACTGTTGTGATGAATCGATTTTGCAAAAGCCACCTCAGAAATAACAGAAATAGTTGAATGGTATACCATCATTGTGCATAATGTTTAATGCATGTTATGTATTCAACAGATATTTTGTCAGACAAAACTAGTTAAAATTGTCTTCCTTTCTTTCTTCCTCAGAAAATTTGTAGTGACATCAATATAACTGTAGAAAGTATCTTTCATCATATCTTATTAAACATGCTATCTTTGCACTGATGATGCCTAAGGTTAATTTCTATAGATTATCTATTTCCTGGTGCAGACTCTATACAGTACATGAAGAAATTATTAGCATTCACTTTTTTTCATTCAACCTGTTAAAGAACTTGTGTTTTGGATGCCACCAAAAGCAATGGAACAGACAAGAGCTTAAATTTTTTTTTTCTTGACACAGAAACAGAAGATTGTGCACATATTTGCTACATCTTAATGAGTACATGTCTTTTTTAAATAAGCTTTCCAAAAAGAGTATACGTATTAGAATTAAAAACAAACTGTGGGGTTAAGATAAAAAGCAGGATAATATCAAGAATATTTAAATTTTGTTTCTTCCTTCAAAATTGATTTAGATTGTCTTTTGTGGGTGCACTGTATGGCTTGGGACTTTCTGTTTCTTCAATTATACGTTGAGAACAATTAGAGCAGAGGATTGAATTTCCAGGGCCAAGCATTCCTGGCAATGCAATGCTTTATTCCTGCAGTGCTTAGAACTGTCCGCGTGTCATTTCAATTCCATTTGATTTCTCTGATGTGCTTCTCACATTATCGGGAGAGATCTGTAGACACATCAAACCAGAGTACTGTTCCAATATAATGACCAGCAGCACTTGCTTTGGTATAGATTTTGAGGAAGGTGAAGAGGAATGTACCTACAGAACTTTCTTTCAAAATTAGTTAAAGAGGCATTATTCAAAGATCTAACATTTCTGAACTGATAAGATCTTCTTCTAATAATATCAAACCCAGAACATTACCCAATGTGGGCCTCCTGCTTGCCAGGCACTTCACGCATTTGTCCAGTTGAAAGCTGCCATCAAGTATTTGCTCTGAATTTGAGATTTTTGAAAAATGATAGGAGAAATGCCAAGACATTTTAAGACGGGATCTTTTGCTTTCTTTCCTGCTCTCTCTCCTTCTGACTGCCACGAAAGATTTAGCATCTCCCCGTGCTTCTCTCAATTAGATCTGGACCTGTTCTGATCTCATTACATTGTAATTGCAAGTGCAAATGTTAATTTAAATATTGTCAGAAACCTGCGGTATCTCAGAATTTTGTCATTTTGGTTTTGATTTTGTAGGGCACAAAGACAGCATCAGAGCCCCCACTGGCCCCACCAGTGTCAGAAGAGGAGGATGATGATGACGACGAAGATGATGATGATGACAACGAGCCCCCTCCTGTCATTGCACCTCGGCCAGAGCACACCAAATCAGTACGGAAGAGTTCAACCCATACAAGTGGTCAATCAAGATATAATCCAAAATCAAAGAAGAAACGTTTTAAAACATAAGAAAAGTAAAGGGAAAATAGTCTGGTGGCAAGTTTTCATAATAATCTCAAAGCTTAGGTTCAATAACAATCATTTGTCAAAAAAAGTTTTTTAACAATAAAGGACCTGGCTTCATGTTTGGAGAAATTTTTTTTCTGTGATCAGATTCTTTGCAGTGTATTCACCTAGTAGTGTCACTAGCTTAACTAGTGTTAATTAGCGTTAGCTCTTAACCAGCGTTAATTTGTATATAATCAAGTCTAACTAATCATTTCCTGAGTCATTTTCTAATATAGTCTGTTTGGGAAACAACCCTTTTACAATTCAGCTCAAAGAAAAAACTTTAAACTGTATTTGAGTTAAACTTTTCTAACAGGCAAATCTGATGCTTTTTTTCTTGTCTCACACTTGTATCTGTTCCCTGCTGATAAAATTTCCGTTTGTCACTGTGCTGTTTGTGAAGTGGCTGAGATTGGACTCATTGTATTGATATATGATTATGCTTTTTTTTCACAGATTTATACCCGCTCTGTTATTGAGCCAGTAGCTCCCCCAGCTCCAGTGAAGGAGGTCTCAACTTCACCCGTGTCTTTGGTATCTGAAAACACATCCAGCACACTGTACAGACACACTGACCGGCAGAGAAAGAAGTCCAAGATGACAGATGAAGAGATTTTAGAGAGATTAAGTATGCTTTAAGCTTGACTTTACAGTTTGTTCCCTGAAAAGGCACCTTAATGAATCTATAGAGTAAATTCACACTTTTAATATGACTATCCTGTAAGGTAGACATCAATATACGGTATCTTTCTTTTTCATTACCTCATACCTACAGTATGGTTTCATTTTGCCTTTCTGCATTATGGTAGTCCTATAATTTGATAAAGTAAAAACATGTGCTTTTACCATGATAACTGTTCATAACATTTTGCCTTGCTCTGATTATATTTTGCCAGTTGTAATTGTTGAAAGTCAGGTTTACATCCTTTGAAAATCTTCTTTAGACTCACTGCCTTACAGTAGCTTTCAATTTTTTTTTCCCTTTTAACCATTAACTGGACATTAATGTTGGCAACTCAAACATAATATTTCCTTCAAAATTCTACAGTAATACAATGTAAGGCATATGGAGTATAAACAGTACCTGTATTTATGTATTGTGCCCTGCTGTGTGCCTTAAGTTGAAAAGTGGCATCAAATAGGGCTGCTGCAGTCTGTGAGCTGAAAATCTCATTAAATTGCTGTGGGAGCAAAGACGTCTTTGATTCCTTCCAGCACAGACACTGACCTTCTGTTCCTGGTTCCAAATGCCTTTAAAAAAACTGGGAAAGCTCTTCTTCTTCATATACTGTAGTCCTTTGCTAGCTAATGCTTATGTTTTGAGGTTTTGAGGCCTCATTTTCACATGACAAAAAGAATAACAAATGTCATGATTTAATTAGTAGTAAAAATGTGAAAATAACAGGCTTATGGTGCTGTTGCGGTAAGCTTTATCTTTTTATTAACAAGATACAGAAAATAAGTTCCTAATTAAGTCTATTTAAGAGCCACTCAGTCTCTTAACACATTTTCATTCATTTAGGGGATTTCACTGCATGAATACACCATTTCAGGTTTCAGGTTCTCTGTAAGTCAAATACCGAGCATAAAACATGCTTAAAATGTAAAGATATATAAAGGATGTGTAAAAAATACAATTTAAGCAACAACCTTCAGTGATAGCTCGGAAGCAGAGCGTCATAACTATGCACGCCTGAATACATTTGTCTCTCATTCTAAAATACCTTATTCTTCATTAATTTTTATTCTTTTTTTCTCTGTCATCTTTCTTTAAGGAAGCATAGTGAGTGTGGGAGACCCGAAAAAGAAATACACACGTTTTGAAAAAATAGGACAAGGGTGAGTCAACATCTTTAAAAATAATTCTGTCTTGCAGGACTGGATAATGTAGCTATTCTGAGTTGATATGGTAAGAAAGCTCTTTGTCTTAAGCACAGACAAAACAAAAAATAAGGTTACAGGAAATTAAAACTCTGTATAAGAATTATGCAAGGGAAGGAAGATACTGTAACTAACATTTTGAAAGAGGAAGTATGTTGAGCCAGGCCATGGGTTACAGTTTAGATATAAAATGTAGGAGAAGGGGTTTTAAAAAACTCTGTTAAAATGAAAACGATATATATATAATAGAGTAGATTAAGAGGCATACCATATGTTATACTGTATGAACATGATTCTCATAAGAAGATTTATTTTTCTATTCAGGAAACTTTGTGAAACATTTAAAATTGTAAGCAGAATAATGGAATTCACAAATATCACAGATATTTCACAGATGCATCTAACAAGGCCTATTTAAAGTCATTGTACATATAAATAATTTTTTTATCACTCACATCCACAGATTGAGCAGTTAATGTTCTACCAATGTTTCTGGGGCTTGTGCTTACTGTACATATTCCTAAAACTATCGGTATAAAAAACTCCATACCCTGATGGGGCAAGCCATTCTTCTTAATTTATTAAATAAGTCAATTTCATCTCCCTGGAGCCGGTTTCATTATTTATAACCTGCTGCTCATCCCGTGTGCATTTTCAAAGCTGCTGCCTGATGTGTTGCCCTGAACAGAAGGAGTCAAGTGCAGCCTTCCTGTGTCATGTGGGCTCTGTCATTTAGAGGTTGGGCTGGAGTGAATGCAACAATGCATTTCTGTGCTCTGTAAGAAAGGCAATAGGAACCTATTATCAGAAGGACAGGCAGGGTAATTGCAGGATACCTGAAGTGGTTAGATACGCCTGTTCACTTTCATGAGTGGGCTGAGGAACAATGAAGCCAGGGATCAAGTTGCTTCTTTTTTGAGTTGCATAATGGCAGGCTCTCTTCAATTAGAAAAGTGCTGTCCTGGGGAGATGCCTCTGAACAAATACGCTGTTCTTTCCAATTTCTCCTGGGCAGCATCTCTTTAATAATGGATTCAATTCCACCTCTGTGCCTGAGCCTATGACAGTGAAAAGTCATGGTTACAGCAGTCGGCCTTTCGGAAAATGAAATGTTATACGGAATGGCCTACAAACTAGGCCAGAGTTCACAAAACATGAAACAAATACCTTGTTAAAAAAAACTGTCCATCTCACAACCTTGCCTTATGCTTGATTCCTTGTTTGTTCTCACGTCAGAAATTAATTAATCTCTTAATCTATGGAAACTTTATGCAGAATCCTTACATAGTTCGCAGCAATACAAACCTCCTGATAAATGGATTACAGTACAATAAGGAGATAGTACAGCTGATACATGTGCAATCCAGTAGCTTCACACATATATTAGAAGAAGCTGACAAAGAACAAATGAAGGACACAAAAGCTGGTTTTGTGAAAAAATAAAAATCATCTCAAGTTGAAAGATGACCAAATTAATAAATTCACTAATGATGACATGAGCTGCATATTGCATTGGAAGGATACAGGAAAATTTCCAAATGATACTTTGAACTATGACTATTTGTACCCATTTCACAGTATGCAAGGTGAATAAATGACTACATTAGTACTGTACATATTTTAATTTACTCCTGCTGATAACACAACAAAAATGAAGAAAGTGGATTACACCTCATATAAAGCAGGGAAGAGACGCCAAACAGCTGCAGCAACTTCTGAGAGTGTGAAATAGAAAATACTGTAAAAAAAGCTTTTAGAAGATTATTTTAATCTCTGGTAGTCTGATAAAACGTATTTGAATGTACTGTACTTTGGCAGCAGTATGTTCAGAATCAGCACATTAAAGGCATCTGAGGCAAATATCTTGTGGGTTTTTGGTTAAACTATCCACTCATGTTTGAGTTAGGAAACACGTAGAATTGATCCAGACATCTGTAAAAATACAAACTGAAAAAAAAAATATTAATAATAGGGTGATCAAATGAAAGTTTGGTATACTGCTGCAAAATCCTACTGAAATCTAGACTATTTTTGTTTTGACTTAAAGAGCTGTCAATATTTTGAATAAAAAGTCTCCAGAGAAATATGAACAAAGCAGACAATGATCTCTGTTTGAATAGCCACTTCAGGCTTCAAGACAAAAGAGAGACAGCAGAACAAGGATAATATATTTCTATATTTCTAATATATATTTCTAATATGCAAAATGGTCCTTGGTACTAACAGCTCAATCAGCAATGACTTTGAGCATGACATCTTAGGTTTTCTGAAACAAACATAAGGAGGGAACTAGTTAAGTCTCAAGAGATATAAGATCTTTTCTGTCATTCACAAAAAAATGTTTAATGTTTCTATTGACTTCAGACCAGAATGATAAATAATAGAGTATGCAAGACTGTACTGCCATCTAGTGATGACTTTTTGATTAATGCATGTGCTTTTCTCTTTAGATACATAATGCATTTTTAATAGTCCCCCTATACTCCATCATGAATAATATTTTTTAAATACTGCATATTGTCAGTAGTGGTTTTCCTTCCTAGCAAAACAGTATATGTCCGATTATGAGTTATCATGATTCTTGAGACGATATATGCTTTTATGCTCAGTTTGTATTTAACAAAGGCACTTATGGAATGAAGCTATTTTGGGGGCAATTTAAAAGATAATGCACAAAGTTGATCAATTAAGTAATCCTGGGCGTTAAATTCCAGCACACGATATTACTGTATCATAAGTTATCCCTTCTTTGCATTGGAGTATATTTTGAAAAATGTACAATACTAAGTGTATTTAAAGGATGCTGTTGACTACTGTGAGATGCCAATGTGGACAGAAAAACTAGGGGTTGCACAGCATTTTTTAGAGCCCAAGGATACCAAACATGCTACGAATAAAAGAACTAAAGTATGGACCTCATTTTTTTAGATCTCATGGATACTGCTTTGTGAAAAAGATCTACCACATAACAGTTGCAGTAAATGTTTCCCACTCGTTTATTTTTCCCAACCAGAGCATTAAATTATGTCTGTGAAGAGGAACTGTTAGGTTAATTTTTTCCTAGCTGAATGTACAGTAATTCACATACTGAATTGTTTACAATCAATCTACGTGTTTGTCCTCTTCATGCCTTCAAATTTATAGAGAAATACTCCACGGGAGTCAATTAAAAAAGAAAAAAAGAAACAAAAAGAAGCACCTATTTTGTCCTGTTCTAAAAATACAATCTTTTCTACAAAGAAACTCCATTAATTGCCTGTTATCTTCTCTTATTCTCTCACGTTCTCTCCTGTTGTTTCCACAGGGCATCTGGTACTGTGTACACGGCAATAGACATTGCCACTGGACAGGAGGTGAGCCAGATCTCTAGGTTGTGCTAATGTTCATTTATTTATTCATTAAAAGTATGGATTAAAAGCACAGTATGAGAAATACAGTTTGTTTAGCAGGCAGTTAGAATAAATTATTTCTCATGGGATCATATTCAAATCAATTATGTAGGATACTGACTACTTCTGATTTTTAAAAATGATTATTTCTGTCATTCTATTATGGCTACATGGAAAGTGAACTACAGTATATATATATAACTATATGGTATATGTTTTCAGACAGTTCTGTTGAGAGGAATTATTTACAGTATGTGCAAAGAAACTTAAATGTAAAATTCAGGATTTTAATGCTTTTTAAGTCCTCTGGACTTCTGCTATTTAGACCTTTGGGTCCTTTAGAAAAATTGCATTGACTTTACTTACCACAAGGTGTTAAACAGCAAGCCCAGAAGGGCAAACTCAATAGCCTAGTAAATTTGCTTTATTCATTCATTCCCAGTCTTACTGACTTTTTTTGTTGTTTAACCGAGAAGCAGGAGTTTGGTTTTTGCTAGACACTTTCCAGTGTGATGAGGATGTCACAGTGAAACACAAGCAGTGATTTCTTTACTTTGAGCACTCTTGTGATCTGTCCTGCTGTATTTTAAGGTGGCGATCAAACAGATGAACTTGCAGCAGCAGCCGAAGAAGGAGCTGATAATAAATGAAATCCTTGTGATGAGGGAAAACAAAAACCCCAATATTGTTAACTATTTGGACAGGTAGGTCTCTAAAACTTCTAAAACATCTGCTAAGGTTTTGTGTATAGCTGAAATTTTCATATAATCTAATACACAGCACATTGAGAGAAACAGTTAAAAATTGTCAATGAAACATGTTAGACATTTTAATGGTGCTTGTTTAGTTTAAGCAATATTAATTGTGAACAAGGTTAGCCTGGTTACATAGCTGGCAGTACTGTGGCCCTGGGATTTATTCACTTTTGGATCTGGGGTGCTACTGTACTTTATATACATGAAGTTTGTATGTTTTCTCTATGTTTGTGTGGGTTTCCTCTGGGTGCTCTGGGTTCCTCCCAGAGTCCAAAGACATACTGGGAGGTTAACTGGCTTCTAGAAAAATTGGCCCTGGTGTGAGTGTGTGTGTGTCTGTGCGTACCACACCTTGCACCCGTTTCTTGCCAGGATAGGCTTTGGCTCCCCCGTGACCTTAAAATGGATTAAATGGTTAAAAAACAGATGGATGTGAGCAAATGGCATAGAAAAGAAATAATTAATTTATAGGTACTATTAACATAAACCTTCTTTTGATTTACATGTTTAGGAAGATACTGAAGAGACACATGCAGTTGTGGTGGTAAGGTCTTGTGAATTAAAATAACAGGATTATTGTAACTGTCCACTCGTGAAGCTTGTTACAATGCTGGTGTTTCTTCAGTAACCTGGTAGTGGAATTGTGTAGTGACACCCACTAGAGCATTAGGCCCACTGTAACTGTAATGCTTGCTGCAATGCTGGTGTTTCTCCAGTTACCTGGTTGGTGATGAGCTGTGGGTGGTGATGGAATACTTGGCTGGGGGCTCACTCACAGACGTGGTGACTGAGACTTGCATGGACGAGGGACAGATAGCAGCAGTCTGTCGAGAGGTAGGACATGGCCGTCTCTCTGCCTGCCAATCACCCCATATTTCCTAACACATGGAATTCAGTACAGGTCTACTTAACTTTAAATTCTAAACTACTGGAATTCTCAAATCTTTGTGTCTTACATATTTAAATACAGCTTTGGACCCAAAGCTAAGCCCCATTTTCAGAAAGTAAGATAGAAAGTAATAGAATATAATGATTAATAATATAATTCATATTATTAATCATTATATATACACTATTTATAAACATGTATATACAGTATTACATTTATATAACATTAAGAAATAAGTAGTTGGAGTATTTCAATATGCATTTTATATATAAAAAATGTATTCTTACTATTTCTAAAAAATGTTATTTTGGGCTGCAATGTTATAGTCAATTTGTTTTATTGTTGTTGTTGCTGTTTATACTGCTTGTTTCCTTAATTGTAGTGTCTACAGGCTTTGGACTTCCTCCACTCGAATCAGGTGATCCACAGGGACATTAAAAGCGACAACATTCTCCTTGGAATGGATGGATCTGTGAAATTAAGTAAGCATAATGAAGAACCATGAATCATTCTGTGATGTGTTTTGGTGGGTTAACCAATTAAAACTCTGACTATGTTTGCTATAACTAAAGAGCTTCCTGTGTTGTACTTCCTTGTAGCGGATTTTGGCTTCTGTGCCCAGATCACCCCAGAGCAGAGCAAACGCAGTACCATGGTGGGCACACCCTACTGGATGGCCCCAGAAGTGGTGACTCGGAAAGCCTACGGCCCCAAAGTGGACATCTGGTCTTTGGGGATCATGGCAATAGAGATGGTGGAGGGAGAGCCGCCATATCTTAATGAAAATCCACTCAGGGTAAGAGACTGGCGCTTAGAAATAGGTGATGTCATCACAGCTGGTAATTGATAATGATTTTGTATTTTTTCCACAATGTTACTTTTTTTTCTAGAAACAGCTGTGTTGTATGCTAGAATATACGTGTTTCTTTTTTTTAAAGTCTGAAGTAGCAGTGCATCATAATATGTACTAATATGTAGTACACCAACCACAATTAATGAAGAATATATATATGAGAAAAAAAACAGCCAAGACATATTCCTGATCTTGATTCTGAGTATTTTAACATTTTTGGTCAAAGTTTGTAAAATAACTCATGTAATGTGTTTTGGCTAGCCTGGAACAGCTACATTTTATGGAGTGTTTAAGTGTAAGTATTTGTTAATCTCATTAACTAGACCTCCTTTCCATATGTCAACATATCAATTTACTAAAACAGTCAAAGTGTGTCGAGGCTAGAAGAAGCGAAGCTTTTAGCTTCATTTGAGTCTTTACATCCATCACTAAGATGTTTTGTTAAAACAGAAAACAAATCAATAAAATTCGAGCAAATAACTTTGTTAAGCCAGTTCTTGTAATTATGTGCAAATAAACACATCTTTTTCAGGCTTTGTATCTTATTGCTACCAATGGAACACCAGAGCTACAGAACCCAGAGAGACTGTCTGCAGTGTTCCGGGACTTTCTGAATCGTTGCCTAGAGATGGATGTAGACAGGAGAGGATCAGCTAAGGAACTGCTACAGGTAACTGTATTCCCCCCTTTGGGATACAGATATTTTTTATTTGCTTTAGAATTTGACTTAGAATATGAATATTGGTGGATGGTATGGTGACACAGTGGTTTCATATTGCTGCCTCGCAGCAGTAAAGCCCTGTGTTCAATTCCAGACCTGGGGTGCTATCTGTGTGTATGGTCTCCCCGTGATCTCATGGGTTTCCCCTGGGTGGTCCTCCCACAGTCCAAAGACATACTAGTAGGTTAAGTAGTTTATGTAAAATTGGTCCTGGTGTGAGTGTGTACGTGTTTGTGTGTTTTTGCCCCAGTGTAACTGGTGTGTGTTGAAACTCACAAAAGGCCTGCCTTGCGCCTGTTGCTTGCCGGGATAGGCTCTGGCTCTACCCCAACCCTATATTGGATGAAGCAATTAGAAAACAGATTGATGTTTACAAAACTTTAAAATTGTAAGATGAAGTAATCCAATCAGTCATTTACCAGTTTTTATCCAATTTGATCTGCTCCATTCCAGACTGTAACTTGCTAAGACTTTTGATTTCATTTTTAAGACCACCATTTCAAGTTTTTTGCTATACATTTGGAAATCAACACCTATTTATTTTCATGAAAATGTTTTATGGGAAATAGATCTGCATCTTGATTGATGCCTAAAACACCATTTTAAATTTATAATGAATAACATAAAACCAACCATGACCAAATTAAACCATAAAGACTGTTTGCCTCTTTTTCTTTTATTTAGCATCCATTCTTAAAATTAGCCAAACCCCTCTCAAGCTTGACGCCATTGATTGTAGCAGCAAAGGAAGCCATAAAAAACAGCAGCCGTTAAGGAAGATCAAAGTCCTTCTGATGGAGACTCACAAAAAACACGCGTACTGGACCTCTGTATTAAGGCTATGGGAGTGGACTACAAATGGGACTGCACAATGAAAACAGCAACAACAAAGGAATTCAGCATTTTCTTTGCTGCTCCCGAGGCCCAGGAATTTATCTTGACTCCCTTTACTTTCTAAAAACACTATTCATTGTGGAACTGTCATGTCTGTCAGGAGTATTTGTTTTTCAGGGAGTCTGGGCTAGCAGAGATCCATATTTCTTCTTTTTACTCCTGGAATCAGAGAGCAATTCAAGAAGAAACAAAAAAACGGAAGAAATATATTGCCAGTCTTTTCAACTGTTGAAACTCTCAAAAGGCCTCGGTTTATTCCCTGTCCATTGGCTGTCCAACTAAGATCCTTGTTTTCCTGTATTTCCATGAGCTAGACTGGTCCAAATGCTTTTCATTGTACACCTCAATGACTGAAGCAGAGGAACTACCAAATTTGTTCCGGAACCTTGAAATGACTGCATGATCATGTCTCTCATTACATAATATAATGGATTTCCTCATATCTTATATTTTGAGTCTCAAACGTCATTCGTGTGATGCTGGTGTAAATCCATTGGAACAGGATCAATTTTGTTTTAGTCGTTCTTTAAAGTCAGAGTCAGTGAAGTGACATCAGTGTTTTTCAGGCAGGCTTCAACTGTACAGCTAAACTGGTCCATCATTTCTGGATGACATTTAGTGATGCTGAGAACAGAAAGCCGTGATACAAACTGGATAACCAACTGAATAGTTTTTCAGGCTTCAAACGGTTGAGGATTGGATTTGATCCCTTTTAATGGTTTAAAAGTGCAAGAATAAATTAAGCAATGATTTAGGCTCCTCATTTAGATTGCCTCTGAAAGACAAAATTATTAAGAAAGTTTGGTTCTTATTTTTCTTTCAATTAAGAGACAGCTGGTATTGTAAAGAGTTCCCCTGTAGCGCAAGCCGTTTGTCCACAGGGGTGGAAACTTGCAAGCATGTTTCTGAAGTTGGACGATAAGATCATCTGTCTGTTAGATCAGGTCAACGTGTATATAATTTTTACAAGGGGTGCTATTTTTTTTAATGCTTTTTTCAACTACAGGTCCCACTTCTGTTCCAGGAGCTTATTTTTAGAAATAATATAGAAAAAACAAGAGTCAAAGACAACAGTTATTGTTAGTGTTTTTCAATCATTTACAAGTAAAAATGTTCTAAGAGTGATCAAGTGTACCATTTTGTGAATGTACCCTGTTTTTGGTGCATTGATGCACTGAGAGAGAAACACTACTGTATGTTCTTCAGCCTATTATAATCAACTGCTGCCTATTTTTTAAATATTTTTTTAACAAAACATCAATAAAAGTATTTCTATGAGGTAACATGGGCATTTTCAAAATCCAAGTTCTATTCATACACTGTGCTCTGATACACTGATATTGAAGAAGTTAGACTACCATGCAGAAAGTATAATAACACTGGATAGTCCTGGATAGAATGGTGATGAGTATTTTATTAATTATTCATGACACCATTGTTACCCTATTTCTATTTTGTTAAGAGAGCTTTAAAATGTACCAGTATACATCTATTCAGATAGGCATTTCTGAATATCTTAGTACACTTACAGTACATCTTTTAAATATCAGTTTTTGCCACTTTAAGTTTTATAAAACTGTACCATATTTTATAGCTTTCCAAGAGTCAGACCCATAGTACAATACACATCAAAAAAGGTGTCACTAAAAGTGAAATGGGCTGTTAACCCAGGCTCAACACAAGATTTCCTTTAAGAAGAGAAGAACAGGACAGAAGCAGAGTAATACTGTATTATTACACAAACTGAATGTGTAAAGCCAGTATAAGAAGAAAGAGAAAGTTCCACAGTTGAAATGTGTTTTCTCTTTCTTTTTACTTTTCCTAACAGGATTAACCTCTGCTTATTACAAAATAAATTTGTTTTAAACTAGTGTTGAAGTTGATTAATAAAATAAAGAAGAGCTTATATTAACAATGTTGGTTGTAATAACTATTTATATATAGTATATTTTTAACATATACTATATACAAGCCGCATATATATGCATGTATGTGTGCAGAATCAGTTGCTTCTTATATTGAAAAGATATATATTTTGTACCTCTAAAACACCGCAGCATCACAATTAGCTTTTGATATGTACAATTGTTTCATATTATTCTCCTAATTCGTCATTAACACTCAACTGGCTCTTAAAGTTTTGAATTCACATTCTTCTAGACTCTGACGTTTTCTTGATATCTGAAATATTAATATTCATTTAGCCTGCCCTATGATGGACTGGTATCCCACAAAGGGTGTACCTGGCCTTGCACCCATTATAACTGAGGTAGACATTGGCTCCCCCACAATC